GCTGTGTTGACAGCTCGGAGCCCGGAGCCTGCATCGGATTCTGTGTCTCCTTCTCTCCCTGTCCCTCCCCTGTCTGTGCTCTCTGTCTCTCTCTCAAAAAAACTAAACATTAAAAAAAAGTCTGCCCCTCCCCCGCCCCAAGACCACATGTATCACCACCTGCGGCCACGAGGTGGCAGCAGGGAGAACCAGCGCCCAGAGAGGAGCCGCGGGCGGGGCCGGCCCACCTGGGACCGAGGTTTACTGCTGAGTAATCCCCCGTGGCCGCCTGCCTCGTTACCCTATCTTTGTGCAGACTCTGCCAAACCGCAGGCAGAAACTGCATTGGCGTGACCCTCGCTGGGCCGTGTAGGTGGTGACAAGGTGTGTGTTCCACGCTAGTGACAGGAGGCCACGGATGTCACCTGCACAGGCAACTTACTCCAGGGACACGTGCGGGGTATTACCCCGCCCCCCCACCGCCGGGCTTGTGGTCCCAGGTGCTTCTAAAGGACCCCCACCTGCACCGGGCTTCTTGAGTCACGAGGATCGAGTCCGCGGCCCTCGAGCTGGACGCTCACCAGGCAGAGGATGCTGGGATGGGGCAGCTGCCTCTGGAAACGGCCAAGTCCTCTCTGGCTGCAGGAGCAGCAGCGGCAGCGGGGGGTGGGGTGGGGAGGATTAGGTGACAGTCCCCTACCCAGCCCGGAACTAACACCTCCCCTTACTCCCTCTCCCAACCTCAACGCTCAGAATAACCCCGAGGACCGGACGGCGGGATGGCGGGGGCTGTGCTGGGTGCCCTGCTCCTCCTGGAGCTCCTCGGTAAGGACAGGGGTGGGACACACGCACGGGACAATGACACAGGGCATAGGACAAAGACAAGGGGCCGAGAAGGAGGCTGAGGCCCGAAACTTGGTCCCCAGGCTCGGTATGTGGTTCGGGAGGCGGGGAGATCACAGAGCCTCAGAGACAGACGCAGAGGCAAAGGAGGCCCCCAGCCCCGTCCCCGCGGTGAGCCCAGGTAGACCCCATCCCCAGGTGGAGGTGACGGCAAGAACGAAGAGCTACGTCTGTACCACCATCTTTTCGACAACTATGACCCAGAACGCCGGCCGGTGAAGGAGCCTGAAGACACTGTCACCGTCACCCTCAAGGTCACCCTGACCAACCTGATCTCACTAGTAAGATACTTCCACCTGAAACCCCAAATTCTGTGTGTGACCCTGGGGCCCCGCCCCGACCACCCCGATCCCCCACCTGCAGAACGAGAAAGAGGAGACCCTCACCACCAGCGTCTGGATTGGAATCGTGAGTCCGACGTGGGGAGCAGGGTGAGGTCTGGTGGGGGACCCCTCTCCCCCAAGCCCCCGTGGGGCCCCGGGGCGCACGTGTTTCCATCCCACCCCTCAGGACTGGCAGGATTACAGACTCAACTTCAGTAAGGACGACTTCGGGGGCATAGAAACCTTGCGGGTCCCTTCGGAGCTCGTGTGGCTGCCTGAGATCGTGCTGGAAAACAAGTGAGCGCTGGGCCAGGGCAGCGGAGGCCGGGAGGGTGAGGGGGTCGCGGCCGCGCGCAAACGCCGCGTTTCCCGGAGTCCACAGCATCGACGGCCAGTTCGGCGTGGCCTACGACGCCAACGTGCTGGTCTACGAGGGCGGCTACCTGAGCTGGCTGCCCCCGGCCATCTACCGCAGCAGCTGCGCCGTGGAGGTCACCTACTTCCCCTTCGACTGGCAGAACTGCTCGCTCGTCTTCCGGTGGGGCCACATGCTCAGAGGCGGGGGCGGTTGCGGGGCGGCGAGACGGGGGTGGGGGTGGGGATGGGGGCAGCCCGGGTCCCAGCAGCCCGGGTCTGTGCCGGCCCTGGCCCCGCAGCTCGCAGACGTACAACGCCCGAGAGGTGGAGTTCGTCTTCGCCGTGGATGAGGAGGGCGAGACCATCAGCAACATCGACATCGACACCGAGGCGTACACTGGTGAGGCCCCCTTCTGCTCCGAAAACCCGCCTCTAGTCGGGGCCCAGACAGGGGACACTCACCGAGGGGGGCTGCCCCGGGCCACCGACACTGGGCCTTGGCTTTGGCAGCCGGGCTCGACCTTGACCCCCCTCCCGAAACCACCCTCGACAGTGAGCCCGGCATGACTTCCTTGGCCTGCGTCTGTCCATGCACCTGCACCGGGCGGGCCCGTCTAGCCCGAACCGCCTTCGCCTGTCGCC